CCATCGGCCAAGTTCAGTCTCAAATACTAGGCAAATTGACCGACATGCTCAGTGGAAATATGATTGAAGGGTTTTTCCCAAACTTAATGGTGAAGTTTACTGATATCGTCTATGAATTGATGAGACTTGGACGCCATCGACGAAACTGGGACCATTCGCTGTACAACAAGAGCATTCGAGTGATTGTGGAATACATGATTGAAAGGGGAGACCGTCCATTTCGCAATATACTTTTAGGAAAACTCGAACGCTTCTTGAAATATATGGCCTCGACGGTTTGCAGAGTATTTTTTGAGAGAAGGATTCATTTGTTTCTTAAGTGAGTGTTTCCTTTTTTGTTACTTGTTACTCAACAAACTGTCTGATAGATCTCAAAGCTAGATTTTAATGTGGCAAGACGCATCTAATTCAGATATACGAAATTCCACTGGTGTAGGCCACTCGGTGGAAGTTTCATGACATTCTAAGTGAACGAACTTTAAGTTAGAAAATTTTCTATCAGATAAATAATAACTAAAACTTATCTGCCGCAGATTACCAAACATATTCACTTTCCTGATTCTAGACTTCCAATAGCACAGTTTATAAATTAAGAATATATCCATTCTAACTTTTAGTTTTCAGAGAACTTATGATACATGTCGACACCCGAAGAGAAACCATTTCTCTCCTCATCAAAGTCTACATGTTCAAAGAAGTTAGAACGTACGTCACGTATGTTAGTGCGATTCCCAAATACAATGTATTGATTGATGAGACGATGGAGGTTTTGGACGGCATCGAAAACTACACTGTTGATGCATTCGAACCTTATCTTCGACTTATGAGAGAAACAGATCTGTGGACCAATGCTTTCACATTTTTGGATTGGCAGAAAGCCCAAGTGAATCAGAATGGTGTTTCGATAGCATGGCCTGAGATCGAATATGCTCCAAGGCCAAAAAGAAGAAGAATCGATAATTAATAGAGATTGTTTACTTGTGTATTTTCGAAAAATTTTCATTCAACACAATTGGAAAGTTTTTTTTTATATCTGCAACTTTTGGGAATTATTCAATAAACTCAGTTTCACTAACTTATTCTTTTTCAGTATTTTTTCTTTATAGAAACTGAATAATAAGGGGGGGAGGGGGGTGGGTAAATAAATCTACATATCAGGTTGGAGCGAAATTTTGTATATAGGGTATTTTTCTAAATTTTGATCATATAAGAAAGCTACCGTAAAACCTGTAATAGGAAAACCCGCACACTGTCAAGTTTAAGCTCAATGTCAATCATCTCGGCTGCTATGAGAGATATCGAAAGTATGGAACTACATACTAAAAATTCGTAAAATTCAGGCCACAGAGCTTCGAACCTTCTAAAATCTCATTTATTAAGAGTGGAATTATCATTCTGTGGATCGGACAAACCGTGATTTTTTAAAAATTTTCCGGTTTTTTGTTTCCGCGTCACGTTGATGGCTCCAAATGTTTTGTACGTAGGTTTTGAAGGGAGTCCTTTATTTTTCATGTTGACAGCTTTTCACGAATGTTGACCAAAATAGGTGTTCCAGCACAAACAGATGGTGGAATTACCATTCTGTAGAGTACTGTAGAAGTCCATGGGCTTCTTTTAGAGAAAATACGGTGAGTTGTTGATTTCAAGAAAAATGATCAAAATTCAAGGAGGCTTTTTTTTCAAAAGATCCCTCATTCGAAGTAAAGATTCAGACACATTTCCAATCGAAAAAAATAACTTTGCAGGAAATCTTAGGATAACTCACGGAATTTATCAATAGGCACGATTTCTCGTTCCGAGCGGAAACATTGCGTGCCATAAACTTATTATCATTTGCTTTGAATTCGCTTTTTTTGAAAATGAAGTGTGAAAAATTGGAGCTCACTCCCCTCCTCAATAATAGTCCACCAGCCCATGGGCTTCTATTAGAAATAATACTGTGTATATTTTCTCACTGAAGCCAAAAATTGTTTCCATTCAAGTTTTTTCGATATCTTTCACTGGAACCATCAACCTTTCACTGGAACAAAAATTGTCTAAAAGTTAGTAGCCAGATTGTAACTCTATCAGAAATGTTTGCTTATGCGGATTAGTGAAGTTGAAGTAACACTTTTATTATTTTTTTCCAGTTCATTTTTATATATAAAGTGAATATGTTTGGTAATCTGCGGCAGATAAGTTTTAGTTATTATTTATCTGATAGAAAATTTTCTAACTTAAAGTTCGTTCACTTAGAATGTCATGAAACTTCCACCGAGTGGCCTACACCAGTGGAATTTCGTATATCTGAATTAGATGCGTCTTGCCACATTAAAATCTAGCTTTGAGATCTATCAGACAGTTTGTTGAGTAACAAGTAACAAAAAAGGAAACACTCACTTAAGAAACAAATGAATCCTTCTCTCAAAAAATACTCTGCAAACCGTCGAGGCCATATATTTCAAGAAGCGTTCGAGTTTTCCTAAAAGAATATTGCGAAATGGACGGTCTCCCCTTTCAATCATGTATTCCACAATCACTCGAATGCTCTTGTTGTACAGCGAATGGTCCCAGTTTCGTCGATGGCGTCCAAGTCTCATCAATTCATAGACGATATCAGTAAACTTCACCATTAAGTTTGGGAAAAACCCTTCAATCATATTTCCACTGAGCATGTCGGTCAATTTGCCTAGTATTTGAGACTGAACTGTGGCCGATGGTTTCATTTCTGGTGTCATTTTTCTGTTGAAAATGAGCATATTTCGAATGAGCAAAGTGGCGTTTACCTTAGTGCGCGTTGCAGAAAATTCAATAGCAGTTGATACAAAGGTGATTGCATATTTGTTAACACTATGATTTCTTCCACCGCCTCATTGCAAAGCTTATCCAAATCTTGATTTAAGACAACTGACCGACCAACGATCGTACTGAGAAATGTCCATGCTCCATGTTTCAGCTTGTATTCATAACTGTCCATGGGTTCTTTTTTGATGTTACAGTAGACCACGAATCTGAACAATGCACTCGCTGCATGCAACTGAACTTCCTTATACCAATATGACGCATAACGTCGTATGCTGGAAAAATAAGAATTACCGTATTTCTTCTATTAGAAGCTCATAGGCTTCTTTTTTTTCCACATTTTTCTCAACGTGTGCTACTTTTAGAGGTGGGCTTCAATGAGAGGGTGCGCTTCTATATTTTAATGATTTATTTTGGAAAAATATTCCATTCAAAAACTCAGAAATTTGATAATTCTTCTGAAATTCAGTGTTTTGGAAAATTCGCAATTTTCATTCTGCAATTATAAACTCCAAAATACCGAATTTATGAAATTCTGAGATTTAAGGATCTCAAAATTCAAAATTCTGAAAATCTGAATTTCCAAAACTTACAAGGGTCCGTTTTTCAGATACCGGTTGCGAATTCGCTCAAAATTTGTACAAAGGTACTTTCGAACATGCTGAATCCGAATTCGTAAAAAATTTTAGCCCGTTCTCAAAAGCAGTCAAAATATGGCCTCTGAAAGTGTTTTCAGTGCTAAATTTTGACCATAAACATACATTTTTCGAGGTTATAACTCGTTTCAAGTTTTTCTTGAGTGCGAAACTAAGTTATAAAAAAGTCGTCAACTGATAAATTGTTCATCATAATATCAAAAACATTTTATTAGACCATACTTTTGATATCTTCATAGGAGCCGAGATAACTGAGCTCGAACTTACAGGTTTCACGGTAGATTTCCTATATAACTAAAATTTTAAAAATACTATTTTATGAACAGAACATACGTCACGTTTATAAGCTCGATTCCGAAGTACAATGTATTGATTGAGTAAATGATAGTGGTATTGGACGGCATTGAAAACTGCACCGACGCTGATACATACAAATCTCACCTTCGACGTCGGAGAGATACGGGACGATAAACCAATGCTTTTACATTTTATTATTGGCAGGCAGCACAAGTGAATCAGAATGGCGTTTCGATATCATGGCCTGAGATCGAATATGCTCCACGGCCAAAAAGAAGAAGAAGTGATAATTAGTAGGGATTGTTCACTTGTGTATTTTTTAAATAACTTCATTCCATATAGTTGTACAGTTTCTTCTGATCTCTGCAAGTTCTGGGAAGTATTTACTGAACTCAATTTCACTAACCACTAAACTTTACATAAACAATCACTTTTTAAGGTTTTTTTTCATAGAAACTGAAAAATGAGGAGGTAGATAAATCTAGATATTAGGTTGAAGCAAAGTTTTGTAAAAATAGTATTTTTAAAATTTTAGTTATATAGGAAATCTACCGTAAAACCTGTAAGTTCGAGCTCAGTTATCTCGGCTCCTATGAGAGATATCAAAAGTATGGTCTAATAAAATGTTTTTAATATTATGATGAACAATTTATCAGTTGACAACTTTTTTATATATGAAACAGGAACAGAGATAAATTGGATCGAAGTTAAAAGTTAGGGTACCCTCCTATTACATGTTTTACGGTAGGAGGCTACAACTCAAAAACTTCAAACACTCCGATGAAAAAATTGCAAGATGTTTCTGGATTCTGTAGCGTTGTTCCGGAGTATTTCAGAAAACGAGTGATCTACTGTTGAATCATATGGAGGTTCTTATAACATATTCTGCACCTGAACTTCGTGAGAAAATCGGGAACAAAAATGTTTAACCAGCTTTTTGCAAACAATTTTTTTCATAAAAGGCTGAAAACAATTTCATTCAAGATTTCTTAGTATGGGGAACTAAATTTGTACAAACGTTTTGAATATTGATTCAAATTGCAAGACACTTGTTAATTAAAAATGGTGCGGACGTTGAAGAAGTTGTCTGAGATTTTCCTTATCTGGTTTCTTATTTTTCAGAGCGTTTTGCAAATCCCAACAGACTATCGAAACAACTTTTCCCGTTCGTGTGAATTTAATCTATTCGAGTTTTCAAGTTTTGAACTCAGATTTTCAGAATTATTGCACTCACCTGACATCACTTGATTTTCAGACTGGTATTCCTTCCTCAAGACTTTTCTTCACGTCATATTTGTTTGCATTTCTGTATTTACGTACAGAATTATTTATGCATACATGAGAACGATGGGATTCCCACCGAGTTCGTCGGACTCTCCTGACTCTAACATTGTTTTCTGGAAAAAATAAAAAAATGTGATATTTTTAGAATATTCTGAGTAATTTTTTCGTATCACAGGTGATTCGCGAACAATCCGTTACGGATTCTCCGCCATTCGCGCGCGGATGAAATAGGAATAGTATACGGACCGTACGCGAATCCGTAACGGATCCGTTTCCGACTCATTCTTTGAAAACCCCCGCCGCTCCTTTTTTCAGTTTCTCTTAATTTTTGCTGAGTTTTCATGATAGCTGTAGACTTAGTATTCGGAACTTTATTAAGAAAACATATAAGAAACAACAATCAAACGTACAAGAAAGTTCGAGAAACTATGAAAATCCTTTTTTTTGTTGAACGACCAACCGGAACCAGAGCAATCTGAAAAAAAAATTGGGAAATTTTCCGAAAATGCAGCATACTGTTTACCTATTAGTTATATTTTTTGTTTTCCGGGTTTTGAAAATTGTCTCATTTCCAACGTTTTAGTCGGTAGATGTTTAGTAGATGTCCATCGCTGAAAATTTGAAAAGTCACTATTTCGAAAACTAATGTGGTTTGCACTTACCTTAAGCTAGCAACTTGCTTTTTGCAAAAGTGAGCACCAAAACAATATTTTTTGTTCCTTTTGCTCACGGAGAGGTTAAGTGATACCTATAACAAACCCTATGTTTCGAAGAATTACCTTTGTGTTACAAACCTTTTTTCATCGTAGAATCGCCTTTCGAAAATTTTGATAGACAGAAATCGGCACAATTGCCGAGAAAAGTAGGAAAAAACGGCAAAAATAGATTAAAAATACAAAAAAAAGATGCAAAAATATGATGGAAGAGTTAAGAGAAAGCTAGTCCCTCACAACTCGGCCATCCGGAACGGATCCGTTCGCGAATGGGCATGGGAGCTATCTCTCGACCTCCAGCTGCATCCGTGTCCGGTCCGTTCGCGAACTCCGTATCCTGTCCGATTGCGAATGTTGAAAAAACGGATCCGTTCGCGAACTCAGATTCGCGAAACTGCCCGTAACGGACCCGTTACGGATAGAAAACCTAGTGGACACCGAAACGGATCCGTTCGCATTTTACCTGTGATTGAATAGCGCAAAGTTATTTTTTCAATATTTATTTCTCTTCATCTAAAAACTTCTTAACCATATTCTTAGTTGATGGACGTATTTGCAACACGTTCCGACATCACAAAGAACAAGAAAAAACATGTCTTAATGCGGTAAACAATCAAAAATTGAGTACAAAATTTTGCAAATCTATGGGTAAACAATTTTGACCTTGTCTAATGATTTTGGTATCTATCATTCCCCCATTCTATTCCGTTTTTTTTTCACCCGTTGACTTCGACCCCCCAACCTCTACAGACCACGAGGAGGCGAAGATTGATTGGCTAAACACATACGTTTGTTCAGGTTCTTCAATCAACTTGTTTTGTTTTTTTTCACACTGTTTCACTTTTTTTTCTTCCATCATGGGCCACCCCATGTTTCTCGTTTTCGGCACCTCTCGTCTTCTCAATTTCTTGTCGGTTTTTGAACAACGTTTTCCCTTCATTTCTTTTTCCTCCCACACACACACACACACACACACTGACACAATCCTATTTTCATCCATCTCCATCGCTTTGCTCTTCATGCTTTCTATCTAATTTCCAATCAGTTTTTTCTTCATTGAATATTTGTGTGTTCCTCATCAATTATTCAAATGTCGACGGACACAGCCTCGGAGGATAGCTTTGTTCTTATTTTGCTTTTTCGTTGTTTTTTTTCCAAAAGTGAATCTCCTCTTGTTTTAGCAGGTCCAATCCTAGCTTTAGTCTCTTTATCTAAAAGCACAGTCATTTAATTGGAAACTAGAAACAATTTTTTTGCCGCGATTAACAAAAATTTCATAACCATCGGCTATTCAATGACCATCGTTTTTGTAGATAATCCTAAAATCGGTTGTGAACTAAAAAAGTGAAGCCACCCATATTTCCTACCACTTTTTTTGTGAAATTAATTGTGTATGTGTGACCCAAACCACGATCACTGTCTCAATAGGTTTCTCGTTTCTCAAGTGATATCAATAGTTGTTTGTTGTGTACTTTTCTGATTTAAGAGAAAAAACTAAATGCCTGAGGTCTCCATCAGTTTTTATAGTATTGTTCAAAGTCGAGACGACCGCCGATCGCCTCGTCTGGCAGAGATCCATTTGATTTCGTCTGATTTTTCTGTTTCAATCTAATCAACAGTTAATCGAGTTTCACTAATTTTTGGTTTACTATCTCTACATTTTGTCATTTTACGACTAATGTATGTGTCTATGGTTTTTTTTGTGGAGTTCTGTATCCATTTCTGATCGTGAGAAGACTGAAACAATAGTCCTTTTCATGATCAGAAATTTGTTCTTCATTCTCAACATGAGAATTAAAATTTTCTCAAAATTTCTAGAACAGAACGTATTCATCAAAGTCAGAAGGTGCTCCTATAAATATTTTGTAATCGAAAACGTGACTTTTCAGTTTTAGTTTCGAAAAAGTCAACAAAATGCTTAATGAAACTGTGATATCACGATTAGTTATAAACATCTCTAACTTTTCATAAACAGTACTGTTCACCTCAAATGTTTTTTTCTAAAACCAACTGATTTCTGACCCAAAAATTACCAAAAGGTCAGGACACAAAAAAAGAGTACCAAGGATTTATTTTTTGTCGCAAAAAAGAGAGTTTTGTAAAAGATTTCAAAGCGCGCGAACAGGTAAAACAACAAATAAAGATCAAAAAGTGTTTAGTTTGTACCACTGCCAAATATCAATACCATCACGTTTTCGGTTGTGTGTTGACTTTTTGCGAGTAGTAAGTGAAAAAATGCCAGTCAACTAAATCATAAGTAAATAGTCAAGCAATGAGAGAAGTGGATGGGACATGAGCAATACGTTGTTTCTAAGATTTCGTAAAGCATTCAATGGTGATTTAAGTGTTTTGAAAAATTGAGAATCACAAAATCTTTTTTTGTGGTTTTCAAAAGATTTAAAATTTAAAAAATTTGAAAGTTTTTTTTTACCGACAGTTTTTTTAGCTGGTCGTGTACAGATATCGGTGTTTACACCACAGCGTCTTTACCGTACCAAATTCATAGTACCGGTCAATAGGCTATACAATGATTATTTTTCAGTTGATTTGGCCTGTTTTTTTTACTAGAAATGTGAAAAAAGTCTCTTTCACAAATCGGCAGATAGCTGGAAAACTAGGAATTTGAAAAATGCTGAGATTGCAAAATCTTCAATTTAAGTCTATTTCACTCTCTTCAAAATATTCAAAGTGATCGGAAATCTGCCAGCAGAGCTCCAGACTCCTGAAAATAGTCAAAATGGCCAAAAATCAACGTTTCTGTGTGGTGCTCGTAATGGTTAAGTTCAACTCCTTAAGAACATCCTAATAACAAAATTTCAAGAATATTATTATTATCATGTTCTCACGTTTGAAAATGCAAATTCAGTTTTGTCGATGTGTTGTTTTCACTCTTTAATTGGCTGTTGGTGATCCCAAAAAGATCCTGAACTTGTGCACGTGAAAAAAATCCCATGATTCAGTTTTTAAATTGAAAGTCATGAAGCTTTTTTTCCACAAGTTTCACAGGAGGATTAGAAACTCGAGAGGATTTTGAAAAAAGTTTAATCGCACTTTCAAACTTCTCTTTTTTTTCATTATTTTGTTATCAAGTGTTCAAATGGATTTTCTCTTTTTCAATTTGACCTTCACCGGACCACCGTGACTCTCACCCAACCCGCATAGAATATGTAGGTGTTTAGGGGTGACTAGTAAGATATATGTAGGAGGCACTGCTGGAGCTGACCAGTCATTCATTACTGGATACAAAATGATTGTGTCCATTTTGAAATTTTGTAGCACCTACCACCTACTAACCCATAAATATATATATATTTAAAAACTCCCGAAATATTTATATAACTTCATTATATCTTGCAGTTTGCTTGAGTTCTTCTGATCTCCAAATAAATTTTCAGTGTATCTCATGGTTCACGGAGCATTTTATGCTTATTAGCACATCCTATATTTTCTTCAAAAATTTTCAATGTTTTGCATGCTACGGAAGTTTCCGAAAAAGTTGAGAACGTACTATGATAACCTGAACTTGTCACTCCTATTTCCAAGAGCTCTGGTTTTTATGTGTCGTACATTTTTGTCTATTATTCTCGTCCATTTGATTTTTTTCTCAATATGGACTTTCTCCTACGTGAGTTTAGCTTCAAGTCTATTGATGCAAATTCTTATCTGCTGATTCTTCGAATTTCAGTACCAATTGTAGTATGAGGTTATATTGTTGTTTAATATGACGATTTCAAACTTACTTGTTTATTCCTCTCCAATCAAATGTTTCCAGTTCGATGCATGATGCAAAAATGTCATGAGCCCTTTAGGATCACCCCTCCAGCTTAACAAAATATTCTGGTGTTAAAAAATCTATCGAATTTGTGACTTACTTCGTTGTAATACAATACCGATGCCCTTCCTCTTCGTTTTTTTCAAAATCAAGATAACCAATTTCGAAAATTAAGAGAGGAAGAAAAAAGACGCAACGAACTACCCTCGTTGCCCATTGTTCACTTCTTTTGTTCTAAACTTTTGAAAGTCATTTTTATGAGCTTTTTTTATCAGTTTGAGTGACCATGGCTTGTGATAATAAAATATGACGAGTAGTAGTTTAAAAGTTTTTCAAAAAATGGAATCATAAGAATTTCTTCTCCTTCTTCCCACACCCCACTGCCGGTTCTCACAGTATTCTTATAATAATCCACCATAATTAAACAGATTCCCATAAACCTAATCTACCCAATTATCTTTTGTCCCGATACCGAGAAGTGCACCCCGACAAAACCAAGAAGCTTTCAGTTTCGTATTGTCCTTTTTTTTTCTTCTTTTTTTTTTGTCTAAGAAAAGGTTCTAATGAAAGAAAGTAGGAAGAAGAAAAAAACAAAAAGATTATAGTGTGAACGGTAATAGAAAATCATCCAGTAGTCCTCTAGTCTTTTCCGGAGAACCGGTTGGGGTAACTTCCACTTCCACGACCTCTTCAAGTTTTTTTGTAACACTTTTGCCCCACCTCAATAGTACAAAGTGAATGATAGTGAAAAGAGGACAGACACAATGGACAATTATGTTCAAATTTCCATTCTGGTGAGGGGCAAAAAAGATAAGAGGTGTAGGTTAAAGTATAGAGTCGTTGTTTGTGTTCGCTCGCGTTTCCGGACAGAATTTTTCCTCGAACGAATCATGATTTATTGCCATCCCCATACGTTTGTGATTAATTTAGCTGCCTAGAAAATAATGAATGGCATGTGTTGGTTGCTCGAGTGCGTTTGGTAGAGAATCAAACAGCCTTTTTTTCTCGAGTGGTTCAAAACCTATTTTCTTCTTTTTCAATTAATTTGTTCCCTTTTTATAATAGGATGAAATTCAAGTTGGGTAATTTATGACCCAAATAGTTAGGGTTAAACGTTTGGGATCTAAACCCTCCCACACAGTTTATTTTTAATCTATTCTTAATTTCTTATTAGTTTACAGTAGCGTCTTTTGTTTATAAATTCGTTTTTAGAGAATAACAGACTAAAAAAACTTCCAGATGTTCTTATAATTCCGTTTTCTTCTTAATAAACAAAATGTTCTTCCATACGAAGAAGTTCAAATTTGAGAAATTAGTCTTGCGGAAGCATTTATCCTCCTCTTTCTCATTAATTATATTCCCTAAATTTCTCACTTCAATTTTCTAAGAAAATAAGCGTGGTGTAGTCCGAAAATAGAAGGGAAAACTGGGACCGAGAAAAAATAACTTAAATCCTTCATATTTATCACCAGTTTCTTTCCCACTCCCTTAGTTTCTTCCCACGTCTGTTGAAATAATTCTTTCTCTTCTTCTTCTGCTTTGTCCTTTTTTCGACTTAAACCCTACTCAGTTTTCAGTTTTGAGTTTTCTTTTGAGTTGAAAAAAAAGTTATTTATATCACTAACTCTTTAAGAGTTTTTAGTCCTCACTGATAAGTACTGAAGATTCTTTTCTTGTTCCGGTAACACCCGAATATTCTGTTCCTTCCTTCACATGAATGCTCTGAATGCTCTAATTCATTGGAGCAAAAGCATATTTTTCAAGCTTTTGATTTCACACCTATCTGCTAGATTTTATCATTTATTTAAATACGAAATTCTGTTCTAAGATTTAGTGTTCGATTGTTCCTAGTCTGATTGAATCAGCAACTTAATCAAAATTTATTGCAAATTGAAAAATGAATAATATAACCATTATGCATTTAACTGCAAAATATGGTTCCAGGAAATAAAATATATATGCAAAAAAAAAAAAAACAGAAAAAAAACCAAACCAAAAAAAAATCCTGGAACCCGGCAATAAGCACGTCACTTGAAATATAAGACGAACCATCTTCCGCTCTCCATCGCTATAATTAAAATCTTGGAACATCACATTTCCTTTCATTTATTTATTTTCTTTTTTCCGTTCCTCTCTCTCAAGGCCATTCCTTCCGAGCTTCTTCGTTTTTTAAAGCACACATTTTCAAATTTTCATTCTCTCTCTTCAGAACAGAACACACAATGCTTCGGCCCGCTGTTTCGGATCCAGTGCTCTTCAAGCCAAATGAAATCGCATTTTTGCGAGGTTGGAATCTCGACCGAGGTTAGTATGACTATTATTTACAGTTGGAGGGAAAAAGATCTCCATATGGCCGGAAAGGAAACACAAGTTGAAGATTATGATCTGTAAATAGGGAAACGCGCGGAAAAAGAAGAGGCAAATTTTTCATGATGTGACCCTGAAAATGGGGAAGGAAAGTGACGTGAGCGCGTTGAGTTGAATTAGCGTTTTATTGTTGATGAAGAACATAAATAAACGGTTATTTAGGGGTAAGGTTAACGGGGAAGATGTGAATCTACCGATTCGTTGTTTTCCTTATTTTTTTTCTTGTGTATGATGTCTGGTTAGAGCGGATTCAATCAACACTCATATTTCGGTATAAAGGAAGATTCATTAGCTAGAATTGAGAATCGAATCCAGTTTTCAAAACAAACAAAAACATTTGATTCCTTTTTTTATTCCCGTGTTATAATCCTATCTAAAGTCACAACCCAATTTTTTTTTCAGAACCCCACATTCCAACTGCCTCTTCCTCAGAACTCTTATACGGACTGTATGTAAATCTTTCTGAGGTAAGCCGAAATCGTCCTTGTGAATGTTCTATGACCCATCTTTTAATCCATTTTCCACCTTCCATTCAATTCCCTCACTCACAAAACGTTAACCAACCATTCTCCCTTACAGGCTAACGCAAACGATACTAAAATGCCACGTAGCGAACGTGAGAAGCGTCAACGAAAATTGCAGTTTCAGCTGAAGCGAAGGAATTCGGTGCTGTTGGCAAACTTCAAGGAAGAGATGACCAGGCCTAGTGAGTTTTGTTTTTGAGCATGATTCTTTTGTTTCCGCTGACGTACTTTTTTGAAAATTTACAAGCGTGGTTCTCCAAAACAAACGTGCTTGGGAAAATGAAAAATAAAACAGAAAAGTGCCACACATAGAAGTTTTCTGAAGTTTTCTGATCCATCTCATTCTGTCATTTCAGTTGCCGCTGGAATGCGTCGATCGTGGTCCTGTGTAGAGCTCGGAAGGACGTCATGCCGTGAAAACACTCAAACCAAGAGGGTGTCTTTCTCAGTTACAGTACCGCCACCAGCATACCCTGATATTGAATCCACAACTTATGATTTGTGTCCACCGAAGGTAATCAAAGCCATGATATTAAATTCAATTTTCTAGTTCTCTTATTTTGCAGATATCCGCTCGACCAATCCTCGTCCGCCGGAACACCACCTATTCCACCAAAGACAATCATATTCATATGGATTTCGATTCCTTCATTGCATGGAGGAGAGGATCCAAGATGAGTGATGACGTGAAACCTCAGCCAAAGAAGAACAAGAATAAAGGAGAATCAAGGAGAAAGGATAGTAACGACTCCACAAAGAAAGAGGAAATGGAACATGGTGACTGGTGGATTGTCAAAATAGCAAAGGTAAGTAGATCATATTTATAAGACTAATATTTACGTTTTTAATTCTAGATGGGATTCGAAAGCTGTTTCCGACGACCACGGGTCACACCAAGCCCTCAAGAGTCAACTGATGAGAAGCTGGAAAAATATTAAATGATTTTTTTCTGTTTCAATTTTTTCACTAACTCTAAAAGTACATAAATTATGATCTCTTAACTGTGTCTGTAAACCTGTGCAATCCATTCTGCCGTTTTCCCCATTATTCTGTCCCATGTCTCTGCTATGCTTGTCCACTCTTCCAGCCATAACTGGTGTTCTCTTTGTTTTGATGTGCTGCTCTCTCAAAGCCAGTTGTACTTTTTGTACTTAAAAATCTCTTCAGTTGTCAAATGTAGTGTCAGGTTTTTTTGATGAAAGTTTTCTCACGTATTTTTTCTACAATTTTTAAACGGGTGTTTCAGCGTGAGAATCTAAAAAATTTCACTGTAAAAAGAAAAAAGAATTCCAAAAATTTATTCATACAAAATAGTGTTGATCCTATACGGGGGGTAGGGGTAACTATTTAAAAAAAAACAGTTGTAATCATTTTGTTGGTTTTACCCGGTTGTCCACTGACATACAGATACACACACCGACTCAACCAGAATCGATGGAAATGGTGAAAAATGAAAGAAAATGAAGTAAAATAGAAGGCAGAATAAAAACAAGGAACGATTTAGTTTGGTTGGGAAACAGTGGCGTAGATCCAGTGGCATCCAATCATTCCTTCCTTTGTGTCGTGGAGAATGGTGTTGAGAGACTTGGCATCCATGTTGTTGATTGGGCGATCGAACAAACGAGCAGCAATAACGAGTGGGATCTCTCCGGAACGAGCACGGGAGCTGACGAAGAGGTCCCAAAGTTGCTCGGCACGGGAAGCGTTTTGGTCAAGGAATGGAAGAAGCTCGTTCTTGGTTGGAAGGCAGACACGAAGGGAGAGATCGGTGTAGGATCCTGATGGAAGTCCCTTGCTGGAGCATTGAGCTGGCTTGTCGGCTTGGAAGATTTGTACAAAGTTCTTGAGGGATCCTCCCATGGTGTGGCAAATGTCGCAGTGGACGCTGGAATGTTGAAAATTGAGAAAAATTCAAAATTCGGAATTCTATTTTTCTTAATTGTCACAATAATCAAAACAAAATTAAAAATTGGATATTTCATAAAATCCTACCATGATCCGATTCCTCCGCATCCGTTTGAGTCAGCATTCACGCATCTTTCTGGCTTTCCGTGGATTCCAATTCTGGTCTCAAGGTGCACGTAATACTTCTTGGATCCGTCGAGTCCTGGAGCGTACACCTGAAAATGTTCCCATGTGTTATTTTTGAGCAATTTGTTAGACAAATCTCACCTCAACTTTTCCTCCGGACATTCTGAAGCACTTGTGTCCATTCTCGCTGATCTCTTCGTGGAATTGGACTCCGGCGGTTTTGTATGATGGGAATTTGATCAGCAAGCTATCTTTCTTTGGTCCTAAAAACAGTTCACTATTGGAAAATGTATTTCAACGGCTTTTCTCTTTTTGAAAATACAGTACCGGTCCATTTCAATTGACTTTGACCATTTTCAGAAGTCTAGAGCTTTGCTGTTAAGTGTCGGATCACTTTGAAAACTTTGGAGGGTGTAGAACAGACATAGATTGATAACTCTGTGTTTGCAGAGTTTCTGTAACTCCTAGATTTTCAGCTAATCGCCGATTTCTAAAAAAATTTTTTTTCCCGTTTCAGTTCAAAAATGAGCCAGAAGGTGGTGTCTTCCAGAAATCAGTAATTGGAGGTGTTCAAACCATTCTGTGAATGCAAAGTTTTCAATCTAAATTTGTTTTATACCCTTCAAAGTTTTTAAAGTGGATCGACACTCGACAGCCGAGCTCCAGGCTTTTCAAAATGCTTAAAGTTAACTGTAACATACATGTTTGAATATCTTATTGACCGGTAATGTGAATCAATGTCAATTTGATTTTCGAACTCGATAGATCAATGTTTCATTAGTCATAGAATGTTACGTGTTCCGTGCAAGAAGCACGACTCATCAGAAGTTCCTGTCATTCTTTTCCGATGTCTCGGGATTTGGCGAAGCAGTGTCCGACAAAACAGGAAATAGCCAAAAGGGACATTGAGATCGAATCGGGACGTCGTTGTGTCGTCAGTTTTTCTTTCTGCTGATACCCTATCTAATTCTCTCTACTCTTTTATCGGTATTCTATCAACCGACACCACCAGTATATCTATCCAAGGCCGCGCACTTCCTACAGTCATAATCACTCTTTTTTTTGGATCGAAATCCATAGTGATAAATCTAAAGTCACTGTAGGTCAAGGGGGAAGGGGTATGAGTACTGCCTAGACGGAGACACAATGCACTTTTTGCAAAATATCTAATCAAGAAACACGTTTTTTTTCGATGGATAGTTTGTTGAGAATGACGTGTGTGATAGTCGTCGTTTGAATTGTTCGATTTGTTGAAAAATACTGGATTTTTTGAAAGATTTCAATTTGATACGTGTGCAGTTTTTAAATTGCCTGAGAAGTTAAAGAAAAAATGGGGAGGTTTTTGAAATTTTTGAAGTCTAGAATCTAGAAGAATGGTCACATTAATGACCAGTATGAAATCAAACAGCTCAAAAAATCGAAAGTGATATTATAAGTTTATCAGATTTTCTAGATGATTTCAAATTTACGGGAAGCCTAAGTTGGATTTTTAGTGTTATTCTTAATGTTAATTTTCATTAGTGAAAGAAAAATATGATTTACGAATGAGTTCAGAATTTTGTAGATCTATTCTCGACAAGAAATAATGTTTAAATGATAACTGATATTTAAAAAAAAAGAAACATACCTGAGCTGGCTGAGCAAGGGAAGTGTCGTTCGATACGGACGGAGATCTCCGACGACGAGGCGGCATAGACGCACGCGACGACGGCGCAGAACAGTACGATTCTTCGGGTCGTCATTAACGCAAGTCGTGTTTCTCGACACACTGGCCACAGGAGACGTCGAAGTCGGCGTGATAGGACAGAATACAGTGGGCGGAGTTGTTTTTTTCGCGAAAGGCGGCTGCTGCCCACCCTACCTAGGCACGCGACCCCCACCTCTTGAGGAGACAAGAGGAAAAGGCAAAAAAAAACGGTACAATGAATAGAAGAGTAGGATGAGCGAGAAAAGAAGATAATGGAAGAGGAGACCTGAAATAGAAGGAGAAAGAAAATTTCAATGGCATTGTCCAGGGCACAGAATGTCGTCACAATCGGTGGTTAACCTTTTGATAACAACATTGATAGAATAGGAGTCTAGAATTGTTTTGGTTCTTGTTTGAAATTAAAAATTAGATTGTTCTCGGGTTTCTTGACATTTTGTGTGAATGAAGATTACCGTCAACCTTTAATAGAAAGATCCCTTAACTTTTCGTTTTGAACCAATTCATCTGAGTTGGAGCCAAGAAAAAAGAAGCCAAGAAAAACCAGCTCGAACTTTACATTGTGGCGGCCTTTTTATTACAGGTTTTAGGTTATTTTCTATAAATTTTTCAAATTTGTGGAAGATGGTTCGTTGGTTTCCGGTATGCAGAAATTATCAAAAACATATCAGTAGTAAAAAATCATCTCGTTCATTGTGATCATAAAAACTGCACATTTTGTTTTTGTTTTTCTTCCAATTAGAAGCATTATGAACCGCTATGTTATGGTATTTCCATAATTGGAACTTACCCAAACCACTAACTTTGAGCTGCATTATCTCAGGTTCTGTGAAGAATAGCAAAAATCTGTCCAAATAAATTATTTGTTCTGAAATATCACCAATATTTTAGCTGTTGACAATTTTTTATATCTCTCACCGGAGTCGAGATGATTGAGCTCGAAGTTGACGGCTTAGGTTGACATCAATGAGAATACGGTATTCAGAATATATTTTAAACGCACACTATCACGACTTGATCTCTGCAGATATATCTCAGATGCTATTGACTTCTCATTTTGTGATCACTGAATGTTTCCAAAAAATCAATTTTCTAATATTTCTTTTTCTTTTGTTTCAAGAGATCTCTGCCATCGGATCAAAATATTTTGGGTGTTTTTTCAACCCTTCCCCATTTGTCCCTAGTTTTTTATACTTTTGATTAGTTCAATAAACAAATCGTTGTTGATTTCTGACTGTTCAGCAAGTTTGATGTTTTATGTTTTGTTGTTGTGATCGACTACGAAATCGTAGAAACCAAGATGTGAAGAAGCAAAAGCAAAAACAACTGTATGGTGTATAAAGAGAACTCGTTATCGGTGACATCATCGCTGCGTTCATTCAACATATGTAGTATTTTTAATTGTCTATATCTTGATGTAGCCTCTAGCCGTTCTTCTAGCTGGCTAAATACTTTGAACGTTCGTTCATGGAAGTTGAACTTTTTCCAATAATGCTGTTAGGATAGTGTAGAATTTTCCGTGATTTGTGTCAAAAGTCCAAAAGTTGAATAGGTTGATCATAGGTTTTACACAATTGAAGTAAAATAGTGTAAAGCTGTATACGAGTAAACGAGGACAAAACGAGGGAACAGAACAATGAGGAGAGGAGAAGTTCAAGAAAGCTGGTATCAATTGCTTTTTCCTTTGTATGGCGACTGTCTACGTCATACTATTCCACTCATCGCTTCTTCTATTTCTTCTTCGTTTTTTCTAACGTTTCACATTTTCTTATTTCGAATCGTCAAATGAGAATGAGGCAAACAATGGAATTGTCAAAGCACAAAAGAGAAAGGGGACGCTGACTTTAAAGATGGGCGACGTTTTTGCTGGAAATCTGAATGCTAAATTGGAATTTTAGTAGAAATTTCCGGTTTTGTTTTGGGTTGTTGCTGTTGACCACTGAAACATCTCATGAATTTGCATAAAGGAAGCTGAAAAAAGCAAAATTGATGATGAAAACTAGTTCGACACGACTTTAATGTTCTCTTAATGTTCAGTGTTCAACTGGAACATCAAGTATGCATGTCTTTGTTCCATTTCGGAATTTAAGTTGTGAATTTCGAGCAGTTGCGGATGAAAATTTAAAATTTCTAGATTTTCAGATCATCTTTCACAGTATCTTATCTAGCATCTCCTGGGAAACAAAAATAATTACTTGCCTATTCACCGAGCAATCTAATCGAATAAATCATGTTGTGACATTCATATTGTGTTGTAAAACAACAGATAACGATCGATTGCTCAAATTCAGTGACAACCGCCAGTAAACATAAAAGGACTTTCCAGTAATTTCCCCTAGGCATACTTGACTTGATTTCATGATTAAAACAGTTAAACATGTTGAATATGGTATATTCCGAAAAAGTGAAATTTCAGGAAACGGAAGTTACTAATTTGCTGAAATCTGCGAGTGAACTGAAAATTGCTACTATGAAATTATATACACATCGGTTTTTTCTTTCCAAAGATAGCGACGGACATTGTACATTGTTTAAAATTTTCGAAAAACAGCTAGTGTTTCCTGAAAAAAATAACACAGATGCGAATTAACGGTGGAGAGTACTGATGTTAACGGAATTGGAGCTCTTCTACCATTTTTAAAAAATTTCAATGGACAACGGAGAACCGAAGACCACCGGTTTGATCAAGATTATTTTCGAGTTGTAAAAATTTTAAATCAACACTACGAAATAGAAATTACATTGAATTCTACTTTTCGTTTTGTTCGTTTTTTGACTCGATCAGTGATGCCCAAATTTTAACGAAAAGATAGGGACTCTCAACGGGAAATATTTAATGCGAAACATTCTTGACTATTAACATTGAGATATCCTAAATCTTGTAATCAAAGAGTCACACAACCCAGAACTTTCAATCAAGTTTTTTGTGTATTTTTTCAAATATTGGTCAATTGATTAAACATTTTCTGTACCATCTATAAGGTTGTTTCGGTTGATTGCTTTTATTAATCGTTGAAAAACGTGGAGATAAACGCTATCAAAACTGATGGTGAAGACCTTCCATTAGTTTTACTGATTTTCAGCCAATCTGGCGATTTTCAGGAGCCTGGAGCCTGGCGATCAAGTTTGCAATCACTTTGGAAAGTTTGGAGGATATAAAACAGAATCAGATGAAAAACTTTGCATTCCCAGAATTTTTTAAAAATTCCTCATTTTTTTAATTAATTGCCGATTTCTGAAAGACACTATTTCTTAGCTCGGTTTTGTACGGTTTTGTACAAAAAAACATTTATGCAAAAGGTCCCACGTGTCTAGCTCAGACGGCGTCAAATAAAATAAAAATGCTCAACCCATACAATTGTTGTTATCAGAAGTTTCAAAATTAATTTGAAAAAAACAAAATTGCTTGAAAAAACACATTTATTCATCTTAAAATAGAATAGCATAAAATATTACTGTTATTTACAAATAAATCAAATAATCAAAAATGTGTCATAAAATTATTTTCGGTTGACCTTCAAGTTTCCATAGATCTTATGGCAAGCAACGTAGCTCTGTTGATTTTTGAGCATCTGGTTAAATGGAAGGGACCAGTAGACCTCAGCCGGGAGTGGTTGGTCTTTGAAGAAGCTGTACTTGGTTCTACGGTAAACTCCCTCGATTTTAATTTGGGTTGACATTTGTTTACTGACGTCAGAGTCGAAAACGTAGACAGTGGCAAAGATTCCCATAGCACGAACATGGTTTCCATCCTGGAAAAAAGCAAAATATGAATCTTTGAATTTTAGATTCAACTCACATCAGCTTGGATCAATTGCAAGAATGATTCCTTGCTAAGTCCCTGAGAGCTAATTACGTCGTCAATGTCTGGAAGGCAGAAAGCAAGTTTCAAGTTGTTGTAGCTTCCTTTCTTCAATCCATCCTGAACAAAATCAATAAATTTCATCAAAAAACTAGGAGAATCAAACATACGGAGCAACTGATTGGTTGTCCATCAAGGAGAAGCTGAGCTCGAACTCCTAGTTTGTCCCCAAATGTTTCACAGGCGTTGCAGTACAAGCTGAAAGTTCAAGGGTAAAATCTGCACAACTCAGATGATGCTTACCAGGATCCAAATCCTCCACATCCGTTTTCTGGCTGTCTAACGCATTTCTCTGGTACGGTATTTTTCTTGGCGGTGTTCTTGAGCTCCAAGTAGATGGAGAAGTCTCCAGGGAAGTCCTGCAATGACATTCAGATTTCGTAAATTAACAATTTTAAATATGGAAGAGCTATTACAAAGGAAATTAGGGATACTTATTCAAATATTCACATGCTCAATGGATTTTCGTGATTATATTTTTTGACAAAGTATTTTGAAAATCATCAGTTTTGCTTGAGCGAGAATTTTTTCAAACTCTGAATTAAAAGCTATTCAAATTCAGTTAATGACCAATACCTACCTCAAGTACTTCGACTTGTCCTCCAATAGTGAAACAATTAGGTTTACCTTCCTGTGTCTCAAGTTTTGGTCCCTTTCTATCATTTCCAGACTCAAACTCTAGTTTCTTTGTCCACTTCCCCGCTGAAAACCAATTATATGTACAGGAAACATTAAAAATAACAACTCACCTTTACATGGTTGATGTTTAATGAGTTCAAGGGTTACACTAAGATCTTTGCCCAGATCGACATTTTCTAAAGCATTTGAAACTGAGACAAGAATAAATGACGATGCCAAAAAGACGACCAACATCTAGGCGCGGTAACTGAAACCAATATAAGAAAATGAAGGTGTCGTGGCTTATGAAGTGATTCGAAGGGACCTGCCCTCCTTTCACACCCCTTTTCAGCTGGATTTCAGATTGGTTTACAGTAAAAAAGAGGGGGGAGAAAGGTGAAAGGGGAGTATATGAAGAATTGTACAAAAGTGTAACGAAAGTCAGAGACAGTGATGAAAACCACTTTTCTTTTTTTATGTCAGCTTTTATTTCTTTTCAGTGATACTTTTACCTCTAAATGAGTGTCGAATGTTTCGAGGTGTGTTTCGAGGTCATGACGGTTATGAGGGTATGACGGCTTGCAGCGAGGAGACGTTATTGATATCTCTGGTGACGTCGAGAAAAAAGCTTCTGAATCGAGAACAAAAACGTGAATCATAAACCCAGGTGTCACATAACATTAAAAGTTGAACGAAAGTAGTTAACCTCGAGAGGAAAAAAATGTGTTACAAAATATCACAAACAATGACTTCTTGATCATTGAAAATAAGAAAATGAGAGTTTCAAATGTTCAATTCCAACTGTAAAACATCAAACTAAATCTAAATCATTTTGCCCTGAATCAAAAAAAGAGCACATCGGAGCATCCTAAACACTTTAATAGATTGCCTTTTAACTCTCAACTTGGCCATCAAAAATATCTTGGTTCCTAAGAAATAAATCGAAGTATGATAAAAACAAAAAAATCATCATAATGTTCTACGTATTTTCTCAGATGAATTTTTTGATTTTTCCTATGAGGACCAAGATAAATAGGTTAACTATGACAGTTAGGGTTTCGCTTCCAGTGTTTACAGTATCTCGAGCTCTTCAATGAAAATGAGACATCACAGCATTTTTGGATACAGTGTGACAGTAGAAATAATGACACAAAAATAGCAACAGTCAAATTTGATGGCGCGTAGCTCAGACGGTATCAGAGCGGTACACTTTATATTTTGCTAACATACGTCCTACTTTCTCTAATAGAAGCTCACCCAAACCGTTATCTTCGAGATAAATTATCCCGATTTCTGTGAGAGATATCAGAAAATGTTCAATTGTTAGAGTATTATTGATATTATGTCAAACAATTTCTCTGTTGACAAATTGTTGATATCTTTTACAGGAAATGAGATAATCGAGCTCAAAGTTGACGGAATGAGTTGGCATCTATACGGTGTGTTTCTCAAGAAGCTTTCCCTTTCGAAATACAATATAACTTGTGATAGAAATACTACTAACATCTGACTTCAAGTCTATTTCTCCTGATTTCTGTAAAAGATATCAAAAAGTTGTTAGTTGATAGATTGTCTATCATAATATCAGAAGTGTTTTGTCTGTTGACACCTTTGTGATATCTTTCACAGAAATTGAGATGAATCGGCTCAAAGTGGACAGTGCCTTTCTCATCACAGGTTTCACGGTACGCGACCAGAATTTTTGATGTTCTACGATATTTACACTGTCTTCATTAAATGTTCTGAATAAATTACTTTTTGAATATATTAATTTTGTTCTTGGCAACCTGCCGGTTTGCCGCTCCTCCGGCGCTTCTAACGGCTGGCTGGTGAGCCTGCGGCGCAAAATCGTCGCTTCGCTTCTCTAATTTGAATCTTTACTATTTTTTATTGTTATTCAGACTTGCCAACCTTAAAAATTTTACGGAAGATTAAATTGGGTGTGGCGGATGTGTGGAAAACTTTCCTCCTGGGAAAAAAACGGAATGACATACAAAGAAGAAAAGAAGAAAAGAAGAGCACAGACACCACTCCATTTATTTATTATAAGAATGGCAATATGAAAATTTATTTGAATTTTTGTTTGAATGCCAAAAATTTCAAATAAAGTTTTTTGTAGGATTTCGAATTTTAATTCATTCATCCCTCCGAATCCGAATATCAGCCCTGTCAATAATTTGTCAAACATTCAAAATCATTTTCGTCACATTTATTCTCAAAATTCACAGAGAATGAACCCGCATAAACTAAAAGAATAAACAGGAAGTTATCATCGTGTCTCATCCATTTCTTATCTTCACTTTCTCTTTGCTTGAATATCACTCAAACTGATGGTTCCGTATAATTTGTGACATCCAACAAATACGGATTGTTTTTTGATAATTTGATTGAAGGGCAAGTTCCAGTACGTCTGAGAATCCACCTGCTCGTCGTTGCCCAACTTACGCAATTCACGGATACGCGATTCGAGCTTGCGTTGTGAACTGTAAAAGAGCACATTTTTGTGTTCCAAGAAACCAGATTCAAAAGTTAATTACTCCATAACCGTGTTAAGATGGAATATATATTTATTGTTCAAAAACTGATTGTTTTCCCTAATTTTTTTCTATTTGAATTTGAAAGAAAGTTTAATAATTCATAACCTCATCATGCACTCAATTGGGATCAAACGAAATTTCCACGTTTACAGGTGAAACATATTTCAGAGATCTTATTAGTGTCACTGAGCAGATGGATGAAATCATTTGCATTTCGATACATCAGGACCACAGAGACCATTTCAGATCAGCCTTCTGTCTACAGAAACTTACACAAGAAGTGGTTTGATGTCCTTGTCGAACAAATAAACGGTGACGAACAAGCTGAGTTTTGGTGGACCATTTCCTTCCTGGAATTAATTTTTATGTTAACCCCAAAAAACCGCATCCATTCAAACCTGAGTGGTGGCTGCCAGAATATGATCTAAAGCATCTTCAGAGATTCCCTGCCACTCCAAAAGCGCGGCAAGTTTCGGAAGACAGAAACGGAGCTCCACATTGTCATATTCGCCTTTCTGGAAAAACACTCATCAGCTATGAATTTTTGTTTTCTTGTATCTCCTCACTTTCAATGGTTCGCATCCGGCTGGCTTTCCGTTCACAACAAGTTGAGCTCCGAGAATTTTGGTCAGCGAGTCCAACGAATCGCACGGGCGGCAATAAAGACTGAAACAACATCTTTTCATTTATAATTCATCTTGAAGAAAATATGTGTAGTTTGTTCTCCTATCTATTGTGAAAAAAATCGAGAGGAAAATTTTCAAAAGCGCAACAAAAGCCGTGAGCTTATCATGTCTTTTACCCTGTGTCTAGTTCATGTGGAGAGATGGCCGAGCGGTCTAAGGCGCTGGTTTAAGGCACCAGTCCCTTCGGGGGCGTGGGTTCGAATCCCACTCTCTTCAGTTCTTTTTTTTCTTATTTTTTGTTTGTTAAAATTCCCGACAAAGAGAAACTGATTATAATTTTGGCATCTGAAAATAAGACATTTGGAAAACTGGGAATGCTGCCATTTGAAAAATTCTTATTTTGAGATTTTAGTCACCGTTGCCTAGTTTTCACATTTCCAAAAATAGATTACCAGGATCCGACTCCACCGCATCCAGTTTCCGGGTTAGCATCCCTGCACACTTCTGGCGGTCTCTGGGTGTCACCAGTCGTCGAAACGGACAAGTAGATCAACAACTGGTCACTCACATCTTCATGAATTTTTACTTTTCCCTGAACGAGATTCGACGGTTATTATTAATATTATTATTATTATTATTTTCATGCTTTCACACTTATTTTTCATCTTTGTTTTCAGACTCACACTAATTGCATAGCATCCCTTTTGATCTGTAGGCTTGAGGAGTGCTCCACTGTCCGAGTGACCACCTTGGAATTCAATTTTGCGATTCCAGTGAGAGCCTGAAATTGAGTAATTTAGATAAAGAGTGCGACAGATCTTTGACTCACTTTTCCGCCAGGCACAGCTTTGGTGTCTATGAAGGTTTAAGTTGAGATATTGAGATGAGACAAATGAAAATGAGAGTGCAAGGAGGAAAAGGCAAGTTTGAACCATATCTGGAAAACGTTCAATCAAGAAAAGTGGCAAAAACGGAAGTTAGTACGATGTTTATAAGGGCATTACTCGGCAGAAAAAATTTCATGTCATATCAAAGTCTAAAATCTCTAAAATCTAAAATCTACCACAGTTTAACAAAGCAATACGACACGCAAAGTAGCAGCGGAAAAAAAAGGAAAAATCGCTAAAACGCGCGAAAAACGATACGAATATGGGGGGAAGAGAAAAGAGAACCTGTTACGTAAGCCTTAGCTTTTGAGGTCTGTCTAAGCATGAATAAAGTGAGAAGAGAGAGTGTGAATGACGAGGATCCAATATGATATACACAAAGATGAAGCTTGCAGACTGTCGGATTGGAAGTGACGGTACAACACAGAAAAAATATTGACTAGTGATTTGGTTCCTGGACGTTTTTCCAAAGGTGGCACGACGATCAGGAAGATAGCAAGTGACCGATTCTTATATCTGAATGGTCGTCTTGGTCTTTGATTCGGTGAACACCTGGTCGTTTCGTTCCAAAGGTATTTCCTTTTCTCTGGAATTCGGGTTGTTTAAACCAGTTAGAAAAACCAGTACCCCTTTAAAAAATTTTTCCCAATTTTCTACATGACCAATAACAGTCTTAGTCCCGATCATGTGATTTGATTTCAGTTCGCATCCGTTCAGGAACCAACCAATTAGTTACGTAACGGGTTTTCTAGGAAAAACTATTTTTCCTAGTTTTTCGCAAACTAAAATGTTTTACCTCTACAAATCGCGTAATTCGATTTGAAACAAAACATTAAGAATTACTTTATATCACATATCAAAGTTCATGGTGGATACTAAAAAATCAAAAGATATATGGATATGACTCAAATTTGTAAGAAAGAGAAATTGGTTTTCTATAGGATGAATACGGTGGGTTAGGCCGCACTTAAACTGAAAAGATTCACGCTTGAATTGAGAAGTGTGAGACTTATTCTATTCATCGAAGTTTTGTAAACGGTTTTTATGCAAAACCAGATCATTCATGAATTTTCTCGAAAAGGGAATGAAGGTCATTGAGTGTACAGGTGAAAAGATGGTTCAATCAAAAATTCTTCATGGTGTCCTAAATGAATAACAAGTGTTTGTGTGTGGCTTTGTAGAAAATAAACTATTAGGCAAGGAGAAACGATGAATACAATCACTTCTCATCAGAAACAAGGAAAACTGAGGGATACGTACGGAGAAGGGTGGGCCAACTAGATAAAAAAAGAAAATTGTGTGGAAGATGATATAAGAGGCAGAAGATTGACACTTCTGGTCGCTGGGAAACGAGAAATTGTCAAGACCCCCTTTTGTTTCTCTCAAACTAACCGACGATAGCAGATAAAAGGTGTGAATCATAATTATTCAATCAGGAAACGATGTGTGTGTGTGTGTGTGTGTGTGTGTGTGTGTGTGTGTGTGTGTGTGGGTGTGTTTGTATGCAATTTGATCTACCTCATATTATTATGAACGATCTCTATAGGAAAAAAAATAGTGTGTTTGTATTCATTGACTTTTCAGTGGGAAGATCCAGTTTTATTTCGTAGTTATGTTTTATGATATGTGGTCAGCAAGAAAAAAAACTATTTTTAACAATGTTTCTCCACAGCTACTGTGAACACTCTAATAGAAGCCCACTTTACACATGTTTTTGTACTCAATTATTTCAATTTCTTTAGAAAATAACAAAAAACTCTTAAATGATAAAATGATAGTGATATTTTGGAAAAAATGTTATCAACTTATGCAACTGTACTATATTTTACAAAAATTGTAATATTATGCTCCACGTAAAAACATAGGATGGCCTCCTATTGTTTGCATGTTTACTGTAGTTCCATTATCTCCTCAGTACTGATTTGAAGTGATTCTGGAAAACAGACTGATCCGGAACTTTGAAAACAACTGTTTTTTTGTTTCTTCTAATTTTTCTCAAATCAAACTACAGATGAACAAACACTTGATAGACCGTAGATCTTCCATGAAACCTTTGAATTTTATAAATTCATTCAAAAAGTACAAAAAGGGATTCACTTCCGGAACGAAAACTGAAAAACAACACAAACATGATCACAAGCTTTATTTCACCAAAATACACAAACGGAGAGAAGAAATTGCATGAACTATTCGATGATTATGCATTTTCAACGCCCCCAGAGACGGCTGCTCAACGCTAACTTTGGTCGGATTCCAGCCTTGGCGACACGTTCCATACGGCGGTTGTCTTTGGAAAACACTTCCTCGTTTTCATTGCTTTCAAATTCATCCTGTTCCGGCGTTTGGGTTGAGCTCGATGAGGCGGTGGTCTGCAATCAGATTGTGAGAAACTGGAAATGGAAAACAAACAACAAGAAATCTAAAACCTACGGTCTCAAATCCCACTTGTTTCTCTGGAGCCGGCCACATCACCAAATACTCATCTGGCACCAATGGGATGTCCTATAAAACAAAATGATGTTTCAGTGACTCAACCCTTTGGTCTAACCCTACAAGTGTTTTTTTTTCACCTGTTTTAATTTCATACTATTCTCGTGACAAGTAAAATGACTTGTATATTCCGCCTGCATTAAACTCGTGGGATCATACATAGGGCAATCGTCGTTAAAAATTCAAATGAGGGAAGCAAGACAGAAATAACTAAAAAACGCAGGCATCTTAAAGTGGTGTCTATTTTTTAAGGAGGTTCTAACTGAATGATTGAGGACTCTGTTTGTGAATAACAAAGAGTTCAGAAGTGTATCGAATTTCAAAGAACATATTTTCCTTCCTACAGTAACCCAAACTAACTCTTTCAAAGTTTCGAAGACCCGATCGCTTTCCCCAACGAATACTCGACCGGCGGAGCTGTCCGTTGATGGCTCTTTTATGTGTGATATACCTCTGCAAGGAACAGGATAATGAGTCAACGACATACAAATGTTCGTGTAATTTTCTATTTCCTATACGCGAATTGCTAATTTTGTTTTTCATCTATTACATGACTTGATCACAACTCACATCAAAATTCACCAAATCGTCACCGTTACCGACGTCTTCATATTGTCCATTTTTCCAGGCCTAGAATTATTAAAAATGAACAATAAGATTCGAAAAGTTCGGAATATAGTACCTGACTGGCCATGGTGACCCCAGCAAAGAAGAAAACTATCAGGATGTAGGTGATGTGCTGCATGTTGTCCTGAGAAACACTTAAAATTGGTGTTTTCACGTTAGAGTCCAATTTTTTATCAGAATGAAAGTGATATGAAACCGAATTTAGCGAGGGGCTCAACAATTCAAGTTTTTCACCTGCATTTTCTAAAATGGGAGGAGCATACTCTGAAAATGGGAGGAGAAGGGGAGGGAGAGGACTAGGAGGGAAAAAACGACAAATTCGAGCTGTTTGCAAACCAAAGCAGGAAGATAATGAATTTTTGTCGTAAGAAAATGTAGATGTCTACCTAAGACAACTAGAAAAAAACAAATACAAAAAATCGAGAAGCAAAAAAACGACAAAGATCTGAAAAGCAAAAGATGGGTGGCTCATCGAAAAAAATGTGAGAGGGCGGAGTGGATAGGTTGGAGATATAGAAAGTAAAATGACGTGATGACTACTCCACATTTGCAAATCAAACTAATCATCGACTTTCAGGTGAATTATTTATAAGGAGCGTCCCTTTTTCATTTTTCCAAAATGGGGTCAGTTTTTTTATGAGTCGTATCTTATTGTTTTTTTTCTGAAGCCAGTACGGGATAGCTTATTATCGGTAGTATAGATGGAGGAGGACCCCAAAAAGGCATCCCTAGAGATGTTTGAAACCGAACAAGCTCGAGTGGATGGAATAAAAAATTAAGAAGAGGAGGAGAAGGAGGATAATGAAAACATTAAAACACTTGCTGCCGAGTAATGTTGCTTGCGGAGTTTTCATTAGCATTCCACTGCATTCTACAAAATGATCAAAAACGTGACAAATTGTTGGAATAAAATATTTGAGCAGAAATGACTGTAGCAGAAATGACGCCAAAAATGTCACATTTTAGTAAAAAAGACATCTAACAATAGTTTTCTAGAACATCTAAGAATGAACATTCATACATTCTAGATCAAACTAGAAGCATAAACACCCACAATAGTACCAAGACTATATAACCAGGAATTTCTGTCGGATGTCCGTGACATTTCCAAAAAAGAGGGATGCTTGCAGTTTGACCTAATGGAGGTCCCTCAATTCTTAATTAACGCACTCGTCTGGAAAATGCGGAAACCTTTTTTGGGATACAAGTGGACATCCCCAGTGAACGTGTAAAGTAGTGACGTGTTCAAAAAAAATGATTTTAGTTGTCGGATTTTTTTTGGAGTTTTCAGACAAAAGGTGGGACAGATGCAAAAAAAAAGACGGGGAGTGATAAACGTTTTGACTTTGCTGATCAGTCGCGTGGCAGGTCTAGAGGCGATCAGAGCTCAATATCGTGCGCAGAGGATTCGAATAATTATTGTTGAAAATAGCAACGATGTATAATGTTGAACAATTTATCTAGGTGTTTACTCGAGAAATTCTGTTTTGATTTTCAACATCTGAACTGTCAAAATCAGATGTGGTTTTCTGGATTTTGCAGAGCAATGTGGGAAATGTTTTCTAACCAATCATATGATATCATTCATTTCAAAATAAACGCGTTTCAATGGGAAAATTGGAGGAAAACGGAAGAATTTGAAAAAACAATAAAAGAAACTTGAATTTTGTTTCATTTATACAGTTTTAGAAAAATTACAAAAAACTCTTGGCAGCAAAAAATCAGGAAAAACAAAACAAAACCCCAATACAATCATTCAAAAATAAACGGATAAAGATCGGAGCCAAACAAGATAACTATTCTAAGCTGAGTTCATCTGACCAGAATTCAAAAGATGTTTGAAGCCAAAATATGTTTGAAGCCAAAATCTTCTCCTCATTTTATTGTTCGCACTGACATCAATTCGCTCTTAGGGAGCTATTCTTGAACAGAGAGAGAGAGAGGGAGAGGGTTCTTCGAAAAATTCGTGAGGTTTCTTTAATTCAATTCGAAGAAATGTAAATTCGAGGGTTAATTTAAATGCAGTGAAGATACATCAGAGTTCTTCGTGGTTGAAAAGGTTGAGCTGCAAGAAAAAAGTGCGGGAGTTTTTGCTTCCAGGATTAGGATGATGTTATCCTATTTGAAAAAGAGGAAGTTTTGGGAATCCCCTGTCAAAGTGATTCACAAAAATTGAGGTGTTAGAATACAATAGACTGCAATCATGTCTAGGTGCACTTCGAGTCTGTGACATTTATAGGATCTGGGTGGAAGTGCAAAAATTTTATTATCAAAATCAGTATGTATTGTTTACAGTTGTCTGAAATGGAAACGTAGACTCTGACGTCTGAAAAACTTCTGCTAAAATCAAAGAATCCAAAATCAACAAACCCACAAAGAGAGAAAAATCAAACAGGGTCATTCACGTTTTAGCTCTGGGAAAGTGAAGAATCCTTGGAGATTTTGAGAACCATAATCCAAATTGTCTATTGGCAATTCATTAAAAAACTTTAACAAGGGAACCTCAACACTTTGCAAAGGTTTTGATGAGATTTCCAGGGCATGTTGAGAACGGCCTATCTAGGCACTTCTGAAATTTTTAGAATCCGCTCGACAATTTTTTCAATCAATTTCCGAATTTTTCCTTGATTTTCCAGATTTATCAAAAATTGAAAAAATCCAAGCAAAAGTCTTAAATATGAAATTTCTTTAAATCCTGAAAATAACAAAATACAATTCTTGTTCTGGAACCTCCTAAAAGTTAAGAAAATCGTTTTTTAACATCACTGTTTTGTACTGAAGCCGCGATTTTTGGTACTGAATTTCGTATAACTCGGCTAAAACTGACGAGAGGATTCTAAAACTTTTTGAAAAATTTGAAAATTTTTAGAGTGTCTAGATAAGCTTTTCTTAACCTATATTGAAGTTTTATTTTGAATGAATCTATTTCCGCGTTTTTATTTCGGAATGGTGTTTTTTTTTAATTATTTGTATGCATTGACCTCATCGTGACGTTTTTCATATAAACTTAGCTTATTTTAAATCGATACATCCATTTTCTTTACCATCTGATATCACGGACTTTAAGTTCACGAGTACAATTTTCAAGCTTAATCCTTGTATGCTTTTTTTTCTTCGTCATTTCAACTTTTCTTCGTCATTTTAACTTTCTTTCATTCAAATTTTACTATCAAGAGATGCTCACGTACTCCCCCTCCTTTATCACTAAAAAGTTACTGATGTCACAAATAATCTTTTGCTACCCTTTCACCACAATATTCTATTGTTTTGTTTTGAGTAATACCTCCCATCGTACACATATGCACGCCGAATTGGTTCTATTGTTGCACACAAGGTCAGGCAGCCCAAAACGTTATCCGGAAGAAAAAGAACACGTCACCCACATTTTTTTCTGGAAAAAAGGGACACTAGTTGGATACAGGTGAAAATTGTTTCTAGAATTTCTCATTTTCTGATAACGGTGAGGTAACGTGGAGTACGAATGACATGTGCGTTTCCAGATACAAATTTTTCATGGAGTTGTTATAATTGAGAAACTATCTGGAAGGGAAATAACTCTGTTTCTTTTCTTCCTTTATCAAAACATACAACGAGGAACGGAAAATTCGAGCTCATTAAACTATCGGGATGAATAAAACAAAAGAAAACAGTTGGACTGGACTAAAAACAAAAAAAATAATTAGTATATAAAAAATACAAGTCTTAAGAAAACAAATAAAAAGAAAAAAAGTGTCACATACACACAAACATACTTTTGTGAAAGGAAATTTCACTTGCAAGTGTTTAGAACATTCATTCCAGATATCCAGGATGCACTTCTCTTCTTTACATTGTGAATTTTGTACTTTGTGTATGAGTGTACGTTTGCGGTCTTAATCATACACGGGCCCTGTCATAATCTCTTTTAGAATCAGTATTTTTGAACCAATAAAATTAGTTGTGATGAATTTAAAAAAGTGCTACAAAATGATATAACTCGGAAAACTTTATCTTCACAAATTCACAGGTCATAAAACTGCCAATCGGGGCCGGGCCCGGTCCTGCCGGTTTTTCGCGTCGTTTGTCTTCAATTTTGTTCCTAGACAAGATACAATTTTCGAAAAAGATTCATCCAGTAGTACTCATCAAATTCTATTTTATCTATATTTGTCACATAACATTGATACTAACATAAAATATGACAGGGATAACGACTTGTTTTAGGACTGCTTTCAATTCTGGCTTTAGTAGACAGAATCTCAGTTTTGCAACGGTTCAAACAATTTCATTTTTCTTCAAAAAAAACAAAACTACAAGCTTCTTTCCCAAAAAATCTCTGAAAGAAATCTGGTCCCTGCATCAAGTGACCTTCTAATTGATGGTCTTATCGTTGTAACAATCGCTATTCCGAGGATCGTCGGCTTATGCTCTTTTTTCTCCCTCCTCCTCATCAGTTGTGTTTTCCATTGTTTTTTTATTCTGCTAACTTTTTCAATAAGAACACACACATTTTTCTAACTGCTCAATTGTTTCAAGACATATGTTGTAACTCTTTATTTTTCTCAATTTTGAAGTTTCCCAACTTAGCGCCAATGTTTGCTCACTTTTTTTCTTGGAACCATAAGATCGACACATTGAGGAGGATTCCTTCCAGTTTGAATAAACATTCATGAAACTGAATACTCTAACTGGGTGTCTATATTGGGATAAAAAACCACATATTGCGTGAGATTCGCCATTTTTTTGGTATTTCGCAAACCAATTAGTACATTTCAAGAGAAGAATACACCAAGAAACTAGTGGACCAAGAATCCATGAAACAACAAACATAGAAAATGTGATAAAAATATATGAATCAGCTTCATTTTTCAATAGACATGCATTGTTTGTAACTGCAATCCAATATACACAGAACCGGTCGAAAAGATATTTGAAAACCTACATTTCAGTAGATGTTCAGCTATTTTGATCATTTCCCGTAGTCTAGAGCTCGGTTGTTAACTTTCCAATTACTTTGAAAAATTTGGAGGATACTAAGAAAACCTAGATTGGAAACTTTGCATTCACAATTTTTTTTTTGAAAGTTCCTACTTTTTCAGCTCTTTGATTTCCAAAAGAGGGCTGCTTTTTCCACGTTCA